ATAAATGAACTCCCTTCTGTTCTTCCTTTGCATATTTGGTCATCACTAATGTTGAAGACTTCACTATACTTACTCGGGTGATGTCTATCAAGCTGTAGCAGCCGTCACATACAGGTTGTGATAGACTGAGTTTCCCATTGGAACCTCATTGATGCTATAAATTTTCGAGTATGAAAACCGATTCATTACCTTCACTAGATGTCCGCTTATTATTCCTGATACTCCATTGTACTTACGCGGTTCATGTATTCTGGCATTACCATGGTCAAAGCTTTTCTTTACCTATGCCAGGCTACTCGCTCTCTTTTTCTCAAGCACTGCTCCGATTTACATGCTCATGCCATTGCTGTGTATACAGATGGTTTTTGAATCTGCTGATAGTATTAGGTTCGCAGCAGTTTTTCCCCGTAATGATGAAGTCCCGAGCCACTTTTGTTGGTCTCAGCTACTGTTTTTTTCTGCAGATTCTTTACATCCCAAAGTGCATTCCTTCATATTACAATATATGTCCTCCTTCAACATTCATTATCATTATGGATTCCCTCAATGCTTTAACAACCAATTAACACTTCGACTTCCCCTCATCTATTAGTCTCCAAATTCAAACAATAGTTTTGTGCCTCAATTCTAGCAGATGTAAAGAGTCATTTACCTGCTGGGAACCCTGGTCATGTTGGTGTGGCAGGCTATGAGCAGGCAGATGCTGCGCACAATTGGCAGTGCAAGATCTCCCAAATTTCCGTATAGGGTATTCGTAACCGGGGCAATTTCAAGTCATCTCTGCCTGTCTCCTGCTTCATGGCACAGCAACTGGGTGGGAGTGGTCAGGCATACACAGTACAAATTGCACTCGTATTCAATCGCTTTTTTAGGTTTGTAGCCATCTTCCTACCACCATTGCCGTTTCTTGGGAGACAGTGTCTCTCCTGTCCCTCATTGGTTATACACAACCTAAACATGGTATCTCATGGATGGATGCCCTGTATTCCCTCTCTGTGATGACTTGTCCAAACCCTTATTTCGTTCTTCTTCACTTTCTGATCAATTTGGCCCCCCGATTGTTACCAATGAGCTTGCAGGATTTACCTCCAATGCCACTTGCCACCTCTGCCACTCTCTTACTTTATCTCCTCTACTTTTGCAGACGATCCCACCTTTGATTCTCAAGCCCTTCAACTTTTTGTCAGCAACTGCCTTATTAAACAAACTTTGAAACATAGTGCTTTGTGTCACTTCCATCCCTTTACTTCCATCACCTCTGAGCCCCCTCCACCTGGCTGATTATATAAAACCTCCGCACTACATACTCTGCCCGCCCCGCAGCACAGTATGTACCCTCGTCGGTTTAGCACGTTTCTCATTATAATAATATAGAGCAGAAGTAATGCAAGGATGGAGGAGTATAGGGAGAAAAAAGAAGAGGGTGTTTAAGTAAGGAGGGAGAAAGAATGTAAAGGGATAGCAAATGAAGAAGTGAGTGAGATGCATCAACAAATTTTGCTGAGAAAATAAGAAAAAGTTTTGGAGTGGAGAAGTTATTATTTTCAGAAAGCCTAGGAATGAATGGAATTGACCAGTTAAAAATAGGAGAAGGAGAGTTATGATTGGAGAGTTAGAAGGTATGGGAAGGCGGGAATATTGGAGGAACTGTTAAATTTGATGGAGATTGGGAAGCTGAGACTTGTTCATTGGCAGGTAAGTATAACATCTTGTTGGAGTAAAAGAAGAGCATTAGTGAGTGTGGGGAGAGGGAAAATGCAGCATAGGGTAGAATGAAAGGGTGTAAAACAGTACTAGGATTGATGGTGATAAAGACAGAAATGTTAACTAGCAGGTGTGGGGCTGTAGTTTGAATTGTTGTTGCATTCATTTTAATAAATGTATGGAAGGAGGGGAAGAAACCTAGAGACTGGCAGAGAGCATGCATTGTTCCTTGTATCAAGGCTAAGGGGATTAAAAGAGAGACTAAAATTTAGGGAAAAAAGCCTGTTGAAGTATACCTTGTGAAGTATATGATCAATTTATTATTGAACGAATTTAAGAAGAAGACGGAGAAACAGGATTGCAGATAAAACAAGACTGTTTTTAGAAAGGTTAAGGGATATGTAGACCATGTTTCACATGAAACATAAAATGAACAGTATATTAGACAAGGATAAAGAGGTTTTTGGTAGGCATATATGATTTGGAAAAGCATATGATAGGGTGGATAAGGAGGGCAATGTGGCAGATGTTTGCAGATGTATAGAACATATGGTAGGTTACTGAAAGCAGTTAGGAGTTTTTATGAGAATAGGTGAGTCTAAATTAGGAAGATGGAGATTATTTTCCCATAAAAAGTATGCCTTAGTGATGTGTACAAGTCACCATGGTTGTTTAATATATTATAGCTGGAGTTGTAAGAGAAGTGAATGGTGGGCATTGGCAAGAAGTGTGGGGTTCAAAGATTAAAAGAAATCTAACAACACAGTGGGAGTTGATCACTAGTTGCACTTTGCTGTGACACTGTGCTGTTGGGAGATTCTGAAGAAATTTGCAGAGTTAGGTGGATGAGTTTGGCAGGGTATGTAAAAGAAGGAAAATAAAAAGCGAATATAGGAACGAGTAAAGATGAGAGGATAATTTAGTAATGTAAATACTAATAACATGCCATAGCTTAGAGAGAGGGATCTCACGATACGTTTCTGTCTGACATTGACCATTTTATAGTCAAGTAAAAGACTTGTAAATGGTACAAGTCGGACAGAAAGTTGTTGTAAGCTCATCTCTCCTGTTAGCGGGTTTATTTTGTATAATGCCTCAAGTCACGGTGATTGTGAATTTGATGTTATTTAGTCATGAAAGAATTGAGTATCAGATTGGAGGAGAGATTAGGCAGTAAAGTAGGTATTCAGAATATTTGAGAGAGACATGTTCCAGCAGATGGGTATTATGAAGATGAGTAAACTCATATAATTCATGAGGAAAAAAGGTGAGTGGTGTACTGAGGAGTCCTGTGGGAGGCAAAGAAATTATCATCAGATGCAAAGAAGAAGTGTATTAGAGTGTATTATGATGGGTGTGAAGGCATTGGGCTGTGAATGTGCAACAAGAGAAGTGAGGCAGCGAGATGTCTTGTCAGACAGCAATTTTTGGTGTAAATATAATGCATAGAATCTGTCAGTTTCGAAATTAGGAGGATGTGTTGGGTTTACTAAAAGTAAATATCCATAGGGATGAGGAGGATTGTTGATTGGTTCAAACATTTAAAGAGACTGGAACGAAATAGAAAGGCTTGGAGAGTGTAATAAATCTGTAGTGGAAGGAAGGTGAGGTAAGGGTCAGTCCTAGGAAAGGTATGAGAGAGGTGGTTTTTTGGGCTTGCATGAAGTGTGCGTTACCGAGTGGGGAAGACAAATATTTTCAAGACATGACTGTGCTGTTAGAGTGTGAACAAAGTAGCATTTATGAAGGATTCTAGGAAACACAGCAAGCCAGATCAAATCCAAGAAGTGGAAGTACAGTGTCCCCTACTCACTGAGGAGAGGTGTTGGATTTGTTAGCTTTCTTTTTTTTTAACTGTATTGTAGGCATGCCTCTGGCAAGACATTGATGGAGTGAATGATGATGAAGTGCTTCTCTTTATTGGTCACCCTGTCCCCCCGCCATGGTGGAAAATGAAAAAAACCAATGTGTTAAAAAATAATAATACAAAATCTTTATTTCTACAATTGAGTTATATACAAATAAGGCATACAGTCTAGCTGACTCAGTGTATAACATTTCGGTTCGGCCAAATAGATCAATATTGTCTCCAGGATGCAACCCACATCATTTGACTAACCACTCAGATACCCATTTTACTGATAGTTGAACATGGACAGTTAAGCATCTACAGAAACATTGTTCTCGTGTTTCCACCCGTACCGAGAATCGATCCACAAACTTCAAGTAGTTTATTGTATTTCAGTAAAGGATGGCCTTATAAATATGCAGTTTTCTAGTAAAGTATCATTACCAAAATATCTAACACTGTGAATATCTTAAGCGAGAAACAGATTTTACAAAAATGTCTCATTCAACTTTTCCTTTACAGTTGTAGTTACAGTGTCAGTACGGTAGTAATCATACCATGCTGACAACCATTTAAGAAAATGGAAAAGAACTGAGATCAGCTAGTGTCAGCACCAAGTTTAATGAAAGCATACTACACTGTCTTATACTAGAGTACAGCAGCTGTTCATGCACCAAGTTTAATAAGCATACTACACTGAAAGCACTGAGTACGAACTGCTGTGAGTACAAGTTTAATAAAGCATACTACACTGTCTGTAGACTGACACAGCGAGCTGTCTGCACCAAGTGAATAAAACATAATACACCAAAGCACTGAGTACAAACTATCAGTACTCTCTTCAGCACTATCAATAATTGGTGTGTGTGTTCCAGTTGTCAGTATTTGACTAAAACTGTTAGAAAATCTAGTTTTTTAATTTTTCTGTGGAATTAAGGTAACAGAAAAATGTTGTTCAGTGTACACATATAACCTCACATTAATAATGTGAAAGACAATATTAAAAAATCCTAAGTCCATGACTGTTTTTAAGTAACTATTTTCTGTATTCTTCCTGACACTATTACGTTAGTTTTAAGTCTTGCCCCTTTGTGAAAAATATTGCCCTATAATCATGGCCCCTACTATGAAAATATTAGCACAGTCTCTCCCCATTAAAAAAACAAGTCTTAACCGCAATTTTTGAAAATTTTTAGTCTATTTGTTTTCCATTAACTGCTTTCAAAAATCTGAGTATTTCTTAATCCTAACATTATTCCTGACATCTCAGATTTGTTCACTGTAAATAACAAGTGAACAAAAACATAAAATCAATTATTATTTATCAAAAATCATGGAAAAGAACTTAACAAAGAAACAGTTTATTGATGAAAACTTACAGAAAGAAAATTTATCAGTTTGTTTAATTATAAAATTTGTTTAATTCTGCATCAAATATGATATGATATAGAAAATTATTTAGTATAAATGCAATTAATGTATGATGAAATAAGATTGGAGTTTTTTATGGATTATTCATAGTTACACCACTTACACCACCAGCCACTTACACCACCTACACCAGCAGCCACTTACACCACCTACACCACCAGCCACTTACACCACCTACACCAGCAGCCACTTACACTACCTACACCAGCAACCACTTACACCACCTACACCAGCAGCCACTTACACTACCTACACCAGCACCCACTTAAACCACCTATACCAGCAGCCACTTACACTTCCTACACCAGCATCCACTTACACCACCTACACCAGCACCCACTTACACCAACACCCACTTGCACCACCTACACCAGCATCCACTTACACCACCTACACCAGCACCCACTTACACCACCTACACCAGCACCCACCTACACCAGCTCCTACTTACACCTACACAGCACCCATTTAACTTACACCACCTACACCAGCTCCCAGTTAACTTACACCACATACACTAGCACCCACTTAACTTACACCACCTACACCAGCTCCCAATTAATGTACACTACTTACACCACCTACACCAGCACCCACTTAACTTACACCACCTACACCAGCTCCCAATTAACTTAGACCACCTACACCAGCACCCTCTTACACCTCCTACACCAGCACCAACTTAACAACTTACACCACTTACACCAGCACCCACTTAAGCATCATTATTGCTCTATCAGAATATTCCATACATTTTTAAAACTCGTTTTTAACATCTGTTTCAGTTTTTGTACCAAGGAATTTAAAAAAATATTAGTTAAGGAGAAAAGAGCTCACACATTATGGAAATTTAATACATTATTAAAATTTGCAAACTCAAAAAATACATTGAAGTTTTTGATAGTGAATGCAAATCTCTCTGTGAATTTTGTGATTTTTTTGTTAAACATAAATTGGTATTGGTTACAAGAGTTCATATGAAAAGAATTGTCCATCAGTTGCCAATATTCTTATACTTTTTAAAAGTCTACATTGGAGACTGTATTAAATGAGAGACAGTAGAGAGAGAGAATACAAAATATGCAGTACAATAAGTCTGTTGTTATGTGAAGTAGTGCGTACCATACAATGAATTACTGGTTTATTGAGTGTTAAAACTTGAAATAAAATAAAGCCAACATGGAGGTAGTAAGTAATCTTCATCAGTGTCCTATTTGTGAAAAAGTTTTTCCAACTAATTATAGACTCATAAGACATAACAGTATTCATACAGGAGAGAAGCCATATCTTTGTTCAGTGTGTCTGAATGGTTTTGTCAATAAATCCTCATTAAAGGAACATGAGAAAATACATACAGGAGAGAAGCCATATCAGTGTTCAGAATGTATGAAAGGTTTTATCAGTAAATCCTCATTAAAGGAACATAAAATAATTCATACAGGAGAGAAGCCACATCAGTGTTCAGTGTGTCAGAAAGATTTTAGGAAGAAATCCTCACTAAAAGAGCATGAGAAAATTCATACAGAAGAGAAGCCATATCAGTGTTCAGTGTGTCAGAAAGACTTTAGGAATAAACACTCACTAAAACAACATGAGAGCATTCATACAGGAGAGAAGCCATATCAGTGTCCAGTGTGTCTGAGAGATTTCAGGGATAAATGCTTACTAAATAAACATAAGAAAATTCATACAGAAGAGAAGCCACATCAGTGTTCAGTATGTCAGAAAAACTTTAGGAATAAATGCTCACTAAAACAACATGAGAGTGTTCATACAAGAGAGAAACCATATCAGTGTTCAGTGTGTCTGAGAGATTTCAAGGATAAATGCTCACTAAATAAACATAAGAAAATTCATACAGGACTGAAGCCACATCAATGTTCAGTGTGTCAAAAAGACTTTCTTCTTAAGTACTCACTAAAACAACATCAGAGAATTCATACAGGAGAGAAGCCATATCAGTGTTCAGTGTGTCTGAAAAATTTCAGTGTTAAATCTTCACTAAATACACATCAGCAAATTCATATAGGACATAAACCATATCGGTGTTCAGTGTGTCTGAAAGCCTTCAGTGGCAAAACCTCACTAAATAATCATGAGAGAATTCATACAGGAAAGAAACAATATCAGTGTCCTGAATGTCTCAAAAAGTTCTTAAATAAATCCTCACTATATGAACATCAGAGAATTCATAAAGGAGAGAAATTATATCATTGTTCAGTGTGTCTGAAAGACTTTATTAATAAATATGTACTCAAACAGCATAAGAGAACTCATACAGGAGAGAAACCCTTTCAGTGTTCAGTGTGTTATAAAGATTTTGGACGCAAGGATTACCTGACTTCACATATGAAACGACATATTGGAAAGAAGCCATATCAGTGTGCAGTGTGTACAAAATTATTTACAGAAAAAGGTTCTCTGGTAAAACATATGCGCTTTCATACTGGAGAGATGCCATTTCAGTGTTCAGTGTGCCAAAAAAATTTTACAGAAAATGATCACCTCACTTCCCACATGAGAATTCATACTGGAGAGAAGCCATTTAAGTGCTCAGTGTGTATAAAACAGTTTTCAGAAGAATCTTCTTTAGTGACACACATGAGGATTCATACGGTAGAAAAAATACACGAGTGTCTTGAGTGTCATGAAATATTTTCAAGTAACTCTCTTTTAGTTCAGCACATCACACTTCATAAAGACAATAAACCATACAAGTGTTCAGTGTGTCAGGAAAGCTTCTCAACAGAAGAAAGTTTGGAAGAACATTTTAAAATTCATATAAGGGAAACACCATACAAGTGTTCAGTGTGTCAGGAAAGTTTCTCAACAGAAGAAAGTTTGGAAGAACATTTTAAAATTCATATAAGGGAAACACCATACAAGTGTTCAGTGTGTCAGGAAAGCTTCTCAACAGAAGAAAGTTTGGAAGAACATTTTAAAATTCATATAAGGGAAACACCATACAAGTGTTCAGTGTGTCAGGAAAGTTTCTCAACAGAAGAAAGTTTGGAAGAACATTTTAAAATTCATATAAGGGAAACACCATACAAGTGTTCAGTGTGCCAGGAAAGCTTTTCAGTAGAAGAAAGTTTAGAAGAACATTTTAAAATTCATATAAGGGAAACACCATACAAGTGTTCAGTGTGCCAGGAAAGCTTTTCAGTAGAAGAAAGTTTAGAAGAACATTTTAAAATTCAATAAAGGGAAAACACCATACAAGTGTTCAGAGTGTCAAGAAGGCTTTTCAAGAAAAGCAAATTTATTATTGCATAAAACAATTCGTAAGGGGGAAAAAACATACACTTGTTCACGGTGCTCACGAAGCTTTTCACAAAAATTAGAATTTGAAAATCACTTGAAAGATCACAACACAGAGCAGTCATATCAATGTTCAAGGTGTCCAGAAAGTTTTTCCCATGAAACTGACCTAGTAAATCATATGATAACTCATATATAGGGGAGAATACAAAGCAATGTGAAATGCTTTAAAGGCATTTTAAGAAAATCTTGTCTTGTAAAACCTCTTATGACTGGTCCCTTCAGCAGAAAAACCCAAGAGAAACATATACTCTTTTAGAAATATATGTTGGACATACTTATGTCTCAGAATAACACAAATCTAAAATAACAGTAAGGCAAGACTGAAATACACTTAAAAATATTAGTATATTCTTACATGCTAATGCATTTAAAAATATAAGTTAGTTTATTCCTACTTGTCTGGTGCACTTAAAAATAGAGGTTCTGTTATTTTTACCTGTGTAGTTCATTACAGTGATCCTCATATTACATGGATTTATTTGGCACTTTTTGGTTATTACACTATTGAAAAATTGCGGCATAATTTTATACAACACTTCAAAAAATTAACCTAACAGAGTTCGGTTTGTGGGAGGGGAGGAAATTTGGAGTGTCTCCCCCAGGATATTTCCCTAGCTCAGTTTGCTGCTTGGCTGTGGGAAAGACCACCTTCTCCATGGTGCTGCACCGAGCTTCAAGGCAGCAAAGGATTGCTTCACCGTACCCCTTTAACCCTTTGACTGTTTCGGTCACATATATATGCATCTTACAAGCCAATGTTTCCAATATATTAATACGCATAAATGCTGGAGTTTACCTGGAGAGAGTTCCGGGGGTCAACGCCCCCGCGGCCCGGTCTGTGACCAGGCCTCCTGGTGGATCAGAGCCTGATCAACCAGGCTGTTGCTGCTGGCTGCACGCAAACCCCTTTCAAGGGGGGTCCTTGGCGTGGTGAAGAGGCTCTTGGATTGAGGAATTAGCCCTGTCGGTCTTCTTCCTCAGACCGAACCTAATTACCCCCACTTTCTCCCCTACCCCTATCCCATCCTCCCCATCCTCCCCTTTTTCCATTCTCCTCCTCCTCCTCACCCCTCCCTTTTTGCCCTTCCTCTTTTTGGCCTTCGGGATTTCTCCACAGGTGCACTAGTTCCTAGGTAGGGGAAAGGACACCGGGGTCCATCCCATTCCGTGAGGTTCTTGGCGGTGGCGTAGTTTGCCGTGGAATCTGGATTGCTGGGGATGTCCCGATCCCTCTCCGGTATCCCGGAGTAGCTCGGGGTGTCTTTTGGCGACGGTGTATCTCTGGAAGCCACCTTTCGGATTCTGGGGTGTGGTGGCCGAAGGAGGTTATGCTTTGTGGCGGATATCTGGCCGCCCTCTCTTTTGGTCCACTGAGGTAGCTCGAGCAGATGTGAGGTTGCTATCCGGATTGCTGGTTTACTGCATGAAGGGTAGGGTATGGCACGGGTTTCCATGCTGCATCTGCGCTACTAGCGGTGTTTGAGGTCCTCTTGGGCGCGGAGGGAGATTTCCGGCCCTTTCATTCCTCCTGGGAACTATTCCTCCCGCTCCCCCTTTTTTTATTCTTTTTTTTATTTTTAATTTTCTTCTCTTTCTTTTTTTTTCTTAAAAACAAAAAGCAAAGGGGGGTTAAAAGGGGAGTATAAACATCCCCCCCGGGTTTTGGGAAA